TATTTTCTCTAAACGTTTGGATTTGGTATTTTTAAAAGAACTAATTAATTTCTGAACAGAAAAATGCAGACTTTTCAAGGTACAGGATGTAAGTATGGTATCTCCAGAAAGTAGGTGGATATTAAAATGTTTTATTAAAGTAATTAATATTTTTTTGTGTATTTTACTTGTTGTTACCTATACTTTAACCAGGGTAGCGGGTAGGAACTCCTCCTGGATAGTCCTATCAGGGAAAATGAATGAATCCCGGCCCTCCGCAGATTTCAGGGGTTTCCTGACCCGGGAAACTAGTACCTGCTTAGGGTCCCATGGTCACGGATGAAGTCCACAACGGCAGACACGGCGGGGAAGAATACCTTTGGGATGTGGATGGCGGAAGTGGCAATCCCCTGATTTTAGGGATTGTATAGAATCAGTCGCCAACCCGCTCGGCAAGCGTGGCGTTTTAAATATGCTAAATCTATCAATACGAAATTACCCCAGGTGAGTAGAGTTATACACTCAGAATCTCACACTGAGCAATCAGTCAGCCTCATGGATTCTGGGGGAGACAAATATTTGACTGAATCTAATAAGAAAAAGTACCCATCATTGCTTTGTATAGCCACTTACAATATAAGAACTATGAGGACCCAAGAATACCTTGGCGAACTAGAACACGAACTCTCAAGTATCAAATGGGATATAATTGGACTGTGCGAAACTCGCTTACCAGGAGAAGCATGTACCATCTTAAAATCTGGTCACCAGCTATACCAGAAAAACTACGTAGAAAGTCATCACATAGGCGGTGTAGCGTTCGTGATAACAAACATCGTCCGATTAGTGTTTGTAAGTAAATAAAGCTTCTCTGGTGCCAGAGTCTTTTCTGAATCCCAATTGGTTTTCAGCTATTCTATCATCTAGCTTTTTATAGATACGTTGGTGTATCACTCGTAAGAACACTTTTAGAATATGGTTCATCAAGCTAATTGTCCTGTGCTCTTCACACTTCATTTCGTTTGATTTTTTGGGTATTGAAATGAATATCGATATTAATCATTCTTTAGGAATCTTATAATAAATGTCATTAAATAATGATTTTTTTGTTAATATTCTTAAGATTTCTGCAGGTATTTCATCTGGTCCCATGGCGTTCTCATTTTTTATACGTTTTAGCGCTTTCTCAATTTCGTCTTTGGTGAGTGATAACCCATTTATTTCTCTTGGTTCAATGACCTCAATTTTCTCATTGTCTTTGAGCTCGCTTATATATTCTTCCCATCTGTTTATTTTATCTGTACATTCCGTTATTGTCTTGTTATTTTTATCCATGATATTTCCGATACCCTTCTTCTTGTATATGCCTGCTGTCTCTTTGATTTTCCGGTGTATGTTAAAACTGTCATGTTGTTTATCTAACCTTTCTATTTCTTCACCTTTCTGATAGCCACAGTTCCTTAGCTTCTCTGATTTTTTGTTTGAATATTTTATTAATTTGTTTGTACTGTTGTTCGTTTTCTTTCCGTCATCAGTTCTTATATCTCTTGTGTGATCCACTGCTTATTTTTAAATGATGTGTCTTCTTGAAGTTTTTGTTTTATGATATTTTTCAAGATCTACTTTACTCCATTTATCTGTTGCTATCAATTGCTTTTGCCTTTCTACTTCCTGAACTTCTTTGTGCACTTGTTTTTTGATTTGTTGGTATATATCAGTTTCTTTTAGTTTTCTCAAAATGATTCTCGCTCTTTTGGCAATTGTTTTTAACTTTTTTAACTTGAGTTTCATGTTTGCTAGAACTAGATTGTGGTCACTTCTTATATCTGCTCCTGGGTACACTTGCCAAGTTGTCAAATCTCGTCAGATCCGTAAGAGACCAACAAATCCACAATCAAGACCATGGGGTCTACAAGATACCCTGTTCCAGTTGATAACGAACATACGTAGGAAAAACAAACCGACGAATCCACAACCGTATTTATGAACAAAAACATTCCGATACTACTTCAGCCGTAACAGCTTTAACACGCGATGACACTAAAAGACTGCCGCCAACATGGTGACCGCTTTTTACAATTTTGTGTACTCTATAATACAACTACCACATAATACCATTCCTGATAGAGTTTAAACACCTTCTTTACACAGTCACGTTAATATTACCGATGCCAGCACTAGTTCAGTGGATTTTTGTTATATTTTTTTGTTTTGTTACAAAACTTAACGTCATAAAATAACAAAAAGAAAAATTTTACATACTTTCTAGATGTACTGTACAAATAAAAAACTTAAAACGTCTGTATTAAGACTGTTATATTATGTACGACAGATATGCACATGGGATCGTACAAATACTTTGCTCATCACAACTCTTTAACTGCCAACATTGGTATTTGCAATTAGATTAATGAGATACATCTATCAGGAAACCCTATAAAAGATAGCAAATTAATTGTAACTCAACTCCACAAATTTGACTATAGCCGTCAGATCGGACAAGAAAAGGTTTAAGGCTTAACATAAGAAGAAGAAGCTTAAGACTATATTTACTACATAGCATAAATCCGTTTTTTCTTCTTCTTAGGGTATCTGTCCGTTCCCAACCTTGGTGATCATTCTGTCTATGATGACTTTGTTGGTTGCTATACAAAATAGCTGTGTTGAGGTCTATCTATACCATGCTCTCAGGTTTGCAAGCCAGGATATTCTTCTTCGTCCTGGAGCCCTTTTTCCTTTAATTTTACCTTACAAAATGCATTGGAGTAGCTCATATCTGCCTTGATTTCTCATTATATGTCCCAAGTACTATAGCTTCTTCATTGGTGACTTTATCTATCCATGGTATCTTCAGGACCTTTTTGTATAACCATAGCTCAAAAGCCTGAAGTTTTGATAGAGTTTTCACTTTCAATGGCCACGTTTCTACTCCGTATAGAAGAACTGAGTACATGTAACATTTAAGGAGCCTTATTTTTGTTTCTAGGGTGAGGTCATGGTTCTTATTCATAGAGCTTATAGTTAAGAATACTTGCTGCAACTTTCCGCCTTTCCGATGCGACATTTAATCTCTTGGGTATTGTCCCACGACTCATTGATTATAGTTCCCAAGTAGTTGCACTGTGAGACACGTTCAATTCTCATTTGGTTCACATACAGATTTGGTCTAGTTATGTTTTCCTTGTTGATGATCATTAGCTTGGTTTTGTTGGTGTTTATATCCAGCCTATATCTTCTACTTGATTCCGTTATTTTGTTCATTTTGTTCAAGTTTTGCAGCAAAAATGTGCTCCGAGTACAAATTGAATATCAGTGGTGAAATGATACACCCTGTCTCGCTCCCCTTAAGATTCTGACCTGATCCGTCTGTGCTATCGAAAATTAGAGAAAAACAAGCAGGATCAGGGCACTAGGAAACAAGTATTTACTATTTAAATGGAAATAAGCCACAATTAATGGTTAAAATACATTTATTGACGTTTCAATTTCCACTTCGGAAATCGTTCTCAAAATACAAACAGTAAATTAAACAAATTTTGTTTTTTGTTACATAGTGAAAAATTCTTCTAATAATTTAATTTTATCTGACTCATTTATATTGACAATTCTGACATACATTATGCATTTTAAAGTAGACGACTTTAAAATGATATTGCCAATATTGTTGAGTTGCGCTCCTGGGACGACTTTACTTATAAGATAGTTCATTCGATTACATGAAATCAACTTTAACTTGAGAATATCCGTCAGAAAAAAATAATAGCATGTAATTCGTCTTTAAAAAGACAAACACATGACATGATGACAGTAAAATTCCCTGTTAGTGATTCCATAGTAAATTATGAGGAAAAACCAGGAAAAAAACCTCATAATACTATCCCGACATTGTAAGTATTTGTTCGTTAATTTAGTTTACCTTCAACAAACATCAAAATTCTGATTTTATATGTTACGTTATTTAAAAAACATAAATGATGTATCCTCTATATGTTACTGACTTACTAATACTGGTATTTTCTTATTAATAACTTCCTCTTTCAATATTGGTAACCAGATCCTACTACATTCTGCCGAGGAATTTGCGACACAATTGGCTTCATTTAGCATAATTAGAGCCGCTTCTTTGATTTTTCTTTTTTTACCATCCGGTTCTTTTAGGACTACATTTGAATTATTCCATTGAACCCTATGTTCATTATCCCATGCGTGTTTACAGATTTGAGATCTATCAAATTCTCTATTTTTAATATAGGATTGATGTTCACTTATTCTAACATTTAATGGCCTTGATGATTCACCTAAATAAACTGATCGCATTCACAAGGTATTTTATAAATGCAATTCTTTGTCCTTTCTTGTTCATTGTTAGGTTTGGTTTTGGACAAAATAGATCTCAACGTGTTTGTTGTTTTGAATGTTGTTGAAATGTTGAATTTATTTCCTATCCTTTTAAATAAATAATTAATTCACAATGCCACAAGAAAATAGCTTCAGAACAATAATACAAATATTAGTTTGTATTTTGAGAACGATTTCCGAATTGATCCGATTGAATATTTGCCTTAGTGAGCTATAGGAAGATGATATAAGATAAGTAGGAAATAATAGAGAACCCAATGTTTAATCTCCAGTTGGAGATAATATATTTGTATCAAATCATCCAACACTTTTAATCACCATATTTTTTTGCTAATTCTTAATGCTTTTTTATCTACTAAGTTGTTTACCAAACTATTTTAATTTATTAATCATTGTACATACATGCTTCCCTTTACCTTTTTTGTACTACATAGTCTGTACTGTGTAATTTTATAACCTGTTAAAAAATTAAATATAAAAATGCTACATGACAATAATTTCAGAAGCATATTAAAAAAATCCCGTTGATGTATATTCTAGATGTAGAGTAGAAATTAAAAGGTATACAAAAACGATGTACTGAAATGTATGATTCTTTTATCTAATTATTTATAGTTGTAGCCCTCAAATTTGAGTAATAAATAACTGATCATTTTTTGCAGCAACACACTTACAGCAGCGTACATCAGGTGGCAACATAATCGGCACAAATTGGCACTCTCCAACTCTATCGTCATCACCGGCCAAAGCACAGCAAATAAGGCTACAGCAACTACAAATGGAAAGAGAGAGACTTAAACAAAGACAGCAAGAGATTAGGCGGCAGCAGGAAATCATGATGCGCAGTTCCAGCGATCTACCAGTAATGGATCCGTTTTTATCCAGTTTGACTGATCACTCGAGGCAGGAGTCAGGAGATAGTGGACTTGGTAAGGATTTGAAGGAATAATATGGTCGACAAGGCTTTTATTGTGTCTATTGATAATAGGTTTTTAATCGTTCACAATATATATTTCATTCTCATTTTGGTTAATTTTTGGACAAAGTCCTAGTAAAGCGAGTTTGTTGCTAGAGCTAATTAAAGACTCCTCATGTCCAGACCAGTCCTATGTAAACACTTTGTACACGCATATACTTCATCTAATTTAGATAACGACTTACGTCATTATCTACGTCAGAGATCGAAGTTGACATAGTTGCCAAAGTATAAAAAAATCCTGACTCCATTTTAAATCAAATAGGTCACATAATTATTGCAAAAGTATTACCATCTCTTTACAACGACTATTTAAATTCTTACGTGACATTTTTGAAATAAAACACACTAATTTTGTTCTAAAAAGAACAGATTTTATTAAATAGGTAAAAATATAAAACGAGAGGTATTCACTTTACCTCAAAATTTAAAATAAAAGTACAAAAAGTGTCAACACCGCAACTGTCAAATAAGTGTTACCAATTTATGCCAAAATTTTACCTTCGTTCGATTACAGTTACAGTGTGTTCCGAACAAATGTTCTTGATAAAAACTCTTTATAATGGATTTATACAAATTAAATGAAACATATTATTGTGTATTTCTTTAAGTTAACATTAATAGAAATTTTTAAATATTATTTCAACGCGTATATAATAAAATGTGTCTAGTGGCTGTAATGCCAGTGTACTCGGTAAAGTGATTCTAAAAAAGAACACACCTAAACCCTAAATATTTCGTGTTGGTATCATATGACAGGTTACAGGTTATGACGCCGATGACGTGCATCGTTATATAAATTAGATGAAGTGTACATGCTCGGTATTACAACTCGTTGTGTATTTTGACTTCTTCCACAATTCACCTGTAATTTCCTCTTCTTTTCATTAAATCTCTCCATTGCATGAGCTGCCACGTCTTCCACGTTCTAGAAATTTCAGTTTTCTCGAGTTATGACAGGAAAGAAGTAAATATAACTATGTCTCTCGTGCTATCAACTCTTGATTCAAGGGTCCATAGATTATTCTCAGATCAGTCTCTTAATCGCCATAATTCTTTTTGAGATCTCTTAGCTCACTTTATTTTACGAATCCTTCGTATTGTACAACGATTTTTGTTGTTTTTGGCTTATTTTACCATTAGTTTTGATTGTACAAATACAATTTCTGGATTCTCTACATAAGGTGTACACCATGAGGATGATATACGTTTATCATCATTCTGATATCATGATTGATATCAGAATGAGTACGTTTCCATTGTTTCGTGAGTTCTTGCTGTATCATTTGGATGGGTTCCTATTTCATTTTCAGGAGAGTTGCTGTGTGAAGGAAGGCTGTTTTGGTTCGTTTGAATTAAGGTTAAGGCTTAAGGAATAGTCGAACAAATATTGTTTTTCTTCTTCACAGCCATCTGTTTTTGGACATAAGTATTTTCCAAGTCTATTCTGAGCAACATACTTCTAATTTGTTTAAATTACTTTTTATGTCATCTACACATCTCTTTCTCTTGGTTTTCTACCTTTGTAGGGTTTGTGATATTGTATCGCTCCAATGTTGGTCTTTTTGTCGTTTTTCAAAGCATTGCTCTTTCCATTGTAGCTTTTTTTTCATATTTTTCTTTCTTCTGTTCTTTCGTCAAAGCAGCATAAGAGATTATAGTTGTTAAGACTTCTCAAATATGCTCTCATCTATCTGATGTTACGAAATTAAATTTGGATTTATCTAAGAAGAGAAATTTGTATCACTGACCAATAATCCAATCAAAATATTCCCAGAAAATTCTAATCTTTCTGTTTAGAAGCTACGCTAAATGTTTGCGCAGGTACCTAAGATGTTAAATGGTTCTCCTGTAATTCTTATATACTATTTTTGCGGAAATATTAGTACCCTCTAATTTCTTACTGGTTGTAGCCAAAAATATTTTATAAAGATCAGTCAAAACAGAAAGGATCTTCCTGTCCTGTGATACATGTTAATTTGCCAGAAATCTTCTCATATCAGAAATTTCTTTCTAAAATCGTTGAAATGAATAGTATCGTGGGAAGTACTTGTAGTTTTTCTGGTACCACGGATGACGAACGCGTTTTTTATCCAATTTACCTTTATGCAAAAAGAGTTTTTAAAATTGCACTCATAATTCAGTTGCAATTAAACCTTATTTTTTAATAAAAAGTGCTCATTTGATAACTGATGTAACCTTAAAATCCCAGTCAAAACTATTGTAGGGGCCAAAAAAGGGCCCACCTCCTCAGAACGGTCAAAGGAGAATTACATGTAAAAATGAATTCAGGGGTGAATGGGCAGGATACGTAGAAAGTTATGTCAAAAATTTCAATGAAAATCTTAACGAGTCCAACGCTGTGTATAATTAAAAAGGAGTACAAAGGCAGCGATCTGTTGTAGCCATAGTTTTTAAATGATTGTCAAAATTCGTAAAAATAATTGATTTTCTAAATACTCTAAATCTAATAGTAAATCAAAATACAAATGCATTCCCTGAATAAATTAATTAATTAATATAATAATTCATAAGCAAGTTTTCTGGCTTTCACTCCTGTTGTACTTTATATTTGTCAATATGTAGTAGATGTGTTTGAGTTTTTAAATGGACTTAATTGCCTTAATAGATACAGATTTAAGTATGATGCTATACCGAAGATTAAAACATAACCACTGGTACAATTACGGGGTCATTATCGCTATTGAACTTGTGGCCCTAAAGAAATTTTGATTTATAGTTATTAAATAAACCTTTTTAAAAGTGTGTAGAATGAGAAAAATGATTTATCACTAGAAAGTAATATTTCTATTGTGTGAAATAGTATCTCAGAGATATCGTTGTAATATAAAAAAATCATGAATGAAGGCCTCATTAGCAAATGACGTGGCTGCACATATTGTGCAGTATCAATGCAATATCTCTGCGTTCGTAGAATTTCTAAAAGTCCCAAAAATGGAAATGTCTGCTGTTTGGTAGACGATGTCCATGAGAATAAGACATGGATTGAAATTCTTCTTGTGTTATCCAACCGCTTGGATTGACTAAACCTAAGGCACCTTTTGGACCATCTTTTAGCATAAAATCTTTATGATGAACTCTTGGGAACACAGATGCTGGAGGAATTGTGTCATCAGAAGCATCCATTAGACCTACCATAGTCACTTAATTGCCCCTTTTGACTGAAGGTACTTGGCCAACTTGTTTTGTTCCTTTCGCTTTGCTATTACTATAATATATAATTTTTACACATTTTTATGGGCCCACTTCTTGCACTTTGTGCAGCTGATCCATCCTTGGTTTGATTTGAAGTATCAGCATCATTGTGATCTTCAGATTGAGATTCACTAGAATCTTTCTGCTTCTGCGTGTTAACTAGATTCGTTTGTCCTAGACTTTTTTTCTTTTTTTACCAGTTTGTTAAATTTTTCATATCCAGGATTTGACCAAATTTATTTTGGCCTTATCCTCCTTCTTCTTCTTTTGATTTCTTAAATCTTTTTCTTCTTTTCAGCTTCTAGCTCCAGTTTATAAGGGGATTCTGCAAGAATAGCTGTTTTGCCCTTTTTACATATAGAACATTTTTAAAAATTTGGTTTTTGGAATAGGTAGTGTGAGGTAATTTTAAATGAAGACTTTCTCCTAGGTGTTAGCATCCAGGAACATCCGGGCCGTGATTCACTCTTTTATGTAGGATAGGAGCTGCAGTTGTTACTCCAGAAATTAACATCCAAAAACACCCGGTTTGTGGGTTATTGTCCTCTGTAGAATCGGCAGATGCTTCCTCAAAATTGATTATCCCAGAATATTCCGCTCGCTGAAGTTCCTTATCGTATGTAAGATTAGTATCTTCATTACCCACCATAGATGGATCATTCGTCACATTATTCGTAGAGAAGAAAGTCTCGCTTGTCATGGGAATATACGTTCTAGGTGCAGCCAAGAAATCAGACTTATTGAAAACAGTTTTATCTGGCGGCCAATTTATTTTAAACCCTTTCAGTGTAGTTCTCATAGTGGATGCTTGTATAAAAGCAGATCCAACAGTTGTAGAGACTTGAAAAAACGTCATAACTCTGCCAGGGTGACAACGGAGGATTTTTGGAGCTTCTTCTCGATAGTACAAACTCAAAGGTCTGAAAAATGTATTGTTCAAAGGTTGTAACATGTTAGAGGAGTGTGGAGGAAGACAAAGCAGGACTACGCTTTTATCTGTAGCTAAATGAATAAGTTCAAGACTTTCCTTATGTGTTTGAATGTCCCTTTAGAGTGAGCAGCATCTGTCCACTATCGGAAACCTCTTCCCATCTCCGTGCCGGTACACTCAGTTCAAACTCTTGCGGGGAAATATTAACATTGAAGGCATGAATGCCCCTCAGCTGACATGCTGAAGCCTGGTGGTGGCTCAGCTAAATTAGAAAATTTAAAAATTCGGCTGCAGCATTGAACCGCCTGTAAGTCACAGTCGCTGAATCCTACTCCTATATTTTTACCTTAGTTTCGGTAATATTTAATGTTGTCTAGGTTTTCAATACAATTTTAAATTCAAATAACTGACCTTTCTATCGCTTTCCGTAGTTAGCACACTATTCAAATAATGGGATGACACTTTTACTAAAGTTTAAAATGAAGTATGTACGTTTATTTTATAATTAAATGCACACGAGTAATAAAATAACACATTTTAGCAAATCCCAGTCTATTTTTGTACTTAGTTCCTATATTTTGGCACTGGGTTAAAAATTAAACGATTATAGATCATCAAAAGAAATTTAAAGCACGTGTAGTGGTCTCACAGTAATATTAGGCTTGTTTAATTATACCTATCTATAAATATCATATATACAAAAAATAAAATCTTAGAAATTTATGCATCAATAAAAAGTAAATAAGGGTTTAAGTATATTTTATCAAAATCACTTGTCAGATGTGAGAAATTTTGAAAAATATCTATGTTCTCGTTTCCATTAAAAAATTTTTGAATTCGTCATTTGTTTGATACATGTTCTTCTTCTCTTTTTTATATAGACATGACTCTGTCTTTACTACTCTATTTGTTGTCATTTTGGCTTATATGGTCGTTCCATTTTACTCTTCTATTTCTTACCCAGTTGTTGATGTTCTCCACCTTGCATCTACTTCGTATCTCTGTACTTCTAGCTCTGTACCATAGTCCCATAGTGTCTTATCATCAATTTTTCTAAATGTTTTCATCTATGCTGTTTCTAACAACCTTTTTGTCCTCTCTGTGTCAGGTCTTGTTTCTGCCGCGTATGTCATTATTGGTCTGATGACTGTTTTGTAAATTCTGCCTTTCGTTTCTTTTCCAATATTTTTATTTCTCCATCTTGTTTCATCCAGGCAGTCTGTGACTCTGTTTGCCCTATTTACTTGATCTTCCGCTTCAGTTTCAAGCTTTTCGTAGCTAGATAATGTGATGCCTAGATATTGAAACTCCATCATTTGTTCTATGATCTGACCTTCCAGCTCCAATTTACATCTTAGTAAATTTGCTGTTGTAACCATGCATTTTGCAGATTTATTTTAAGTTGTTTTCTCCCATTTGATATTCTTTTTAGTTCTTACTTTTTTTATTATTTCATCCATAATCAGGTTGAACAATAGAGGACACAGTGAATCTCCCTGTCTTATCCAATTGCCAGCTTCAATAGGGTCGGTTAGTTCTTCTTTTACTTTTATTGTGTTGTTTTGGTAGATATTTTCGATCATTTTGATTATTCCTAGAGGTATCTCTCTTGCGTACGAGAAGTGGATAATGGCTTTTTATTTGACCCGGTCAAATGCCTGATACATGTTCTTGACTGTGCTGTTCTCTTTCTAGTGGTTCCATTCTTTTGTAGGTTTATTTTCAGTCAATTTTTTGTGTAGTTTTCTTATAATTTTCGAGTTTTCTGAGCATATAGGATGATCTTCTTCATCTTGAACCATTGCCACATGTTTATCAGCAATCTTGAACAGTGTCGAAGATGTAGAGTATCCCTTTTGTGGTCTTAAATTCGTTCGAGTATGTATTTGCCGGCTTAACTCTTACCCTGTTGATCTTGTATAGGTTTTCTACGGTCAATTTATTATGTTTAATCCTATAAAAGGCTTTGTTGCTGTGTATAAAATATAGATAAAGATCTTGGTTAATACCAAAACATTTGTCATTGATTAGCTTGAACAAACTTCTTGTTATATATTTGATCTGGATTAAGAGATTTACTAGTTATCATCAATCTTACTTCATGAATAACCCCTGTTTTAGTTCGATTCTGCTACGCAGTACATATACCCAGTATCCTCATTATGCAGGTTATTTTGAGAATAATGGTAAAATTCAATTCGTCTTGCTCCAAGAACTCATTAAAATATTGTAGCTAGTTAGTTTTTAGTTACATAATTGCTGTTTTTTTTTATACTGAACCATATTGATAGTATTAATATTATTTTCTTTAGGTATGGGAACCACATACTCAATGCCCCACACACCCGAAGACTTTCTAGCAAATATGGACGATAACATGGACGTAGGTAGTGAAAGCCATACGATGGACACCCCCGACATATCTACGTTAAGTGATAACATCGACTCGACAGATGACTTAGTGCCTACCCTCCAACTCGGCGAAGAGGAATTTCCGATGTTAGATGTGCAATCCCTGATAAATCCGCCAACTACAAGACCTGATAACGTACTCATCTGGTTGTAATTTAAGTGCCTCAAATCTGCTCACGTCTTTCTAAAATTTATATATATATATATATATATATATATATATATATATATATATATATATATATATATATATATATATAATATACGCAGTGTATTGATAAGTCAAACTCATTTTTCGCTTAGGTAAATTATTTATTACGTTTCGGATAAGCTCTGTGTATGTCAAGTAACTTGATGTCTTAGAATTTCTCAGAATTTAGTCGATTTTGGATTGGTTTACCTATAAAAACATAGCAGCACAGTAATTTTCAAAGTTTTTGTTGCTTAAATACCATTACTCAACGAACAATCAAAATAATGAAGAAAACTAGCTGATATTTGTTAAGACTATTTGTTTTCTTGTATTTACTAGACATATTTTTACACTTTTTATAGTTTTTCTACATATCTTTTCCAACACCAAGTCCTGTTCACTTCACAAGAACTTGAGTAGGTACTCTCTTATACATCTGTAATAATGGTTTTTTCACAATTTTTATAATATACTGTAGGGTATTTACATACTTTGGAAATGCAATTATATAATTTAATTTGTTATGCGATGTTGCCGGTTGTACATAAAAACGAAATTGCATATACATGATTTTAGACAAGACTACAGAATAGGATATAGGATAGGATATAGGATAGGATAGGAAAGGGGGGAATAGTGGTCGCCTAAGCATTTTGGTTTAATTATACTGCTACATAGCTTTAAAAATTATACTGTTAACGTAAATAAAACTTCAAGCCTTAGTACTTCAAACTTTATTTACGAAAAAATTTTAAGCAGGACATCTTGCACTAATACATCAACCCCAACAAAATATGACATTTTCAAAAATTCCTTCTTTGCCGGCAAAACATCGTCATTGTTATAGGTACAGTTTGAACGAAACACTGTTAGATGGCGCAATAGGTATTAAACGCGAAATAATATTAGGCCGTAAATGTAAATATTTCATGGCTGCCATTACTCTAGCGGCTACCATTCCCCTATCCTTATTAAAACCACAGAATAATAAACAATCAGAATGCCCACTCACAAAATGAACCCGGTTTAATTGACTTACGGCAATCGTAGGCATACTATACAATTATATTAACATTGTTAAATATAATAACATAAATATAATATATATTTATGTTATTATATTACATAACCTCACAAATCATATATCTGTGTTATGTGTTTCCTTCTAAAACATGGCGCGCGTGCTGAAAAACTTCAAAGGCGATATGTGAGAGTGGGCATTCTGATTGTTTATTATTCTGTGTTAGAACATAATTATCAAATAATTATATCCTATATACATAGCTAAACAATCAGATTGACAACTTTGACATTTATGTCAGATTCTTGTTGATTTATATATACTGAAGCGTGAGGCAAATATTTGCGAACAGAAAATCGCATAAGCAATAAGTCAACATTGTCTATTTTTCAGTTGTGACGCAACTGTACTTTCTGAGTAAATAAATACCCTAATGCTTTAAGTATTTGATAGCAAAAAAGAACACGAAATAATATAATGATGGATTCATGAATAATATCGGATGTGTAGGTTACAAAATTAACTGAATTCTGAGAATAACCTGACGGAATACTGTTATTTTTGCAATATTAAACTAATTCAATAGCAATAGAAGTGTTTGATATTTTATAACTATATTGTTAATACTAAAATTTTAGCATTTGTAATATTGTATTTTTGTCACAGTTTATGGGAGCGTTATTTTACTGTTGGGTATGTTTTTCATACGTATATAGTTTTTAATTTATCAACTAAGCTACTTGTTACTGATATCATTTTTAATTGGTCTACTTACATACTCCTGACACAAATTTTTGACCGAATTTAAATGTAACTTTTGTATGTGTATTAATCATTTGTTTCAAAAGCTCAACTTGCTTTAAAATCATACAGTAGGGCCATGAAAAAAATTGTTCAAAACACATTGTTCATTTCAAATCAGTGGCAAATCATTAAGTATAGTGTAGTGATTATTAAAAGGTTCTAATTGCTCTTTTAATGGTGGTCTTCTGATGTATTTGTCTTTCTAGCTAGCTATGCATTCTTCTCCAATACTACAGCTTTTTAATTCATCTTCTATTTGCTGTTCTAATGGTTCAAGTTTCTGAGATGCAATTGAATATTGGATAATAAGAGTTCATCTTAGATAGGTGTCCATGTGAATCGTATCTTAATGTTCTTCATAGGTAAAAATCAAACAATACTTTAAAAAGCATCAAATTTAGTGAGGCTGTAGACAGAACAAAACAAAAACGGTCGGAACGTTATCAAAATCGGCAAAGGAGTTGAAATATCGAGGTATGAAGAACAAATGATATGATATTCTTAATCAAGCGTCATGTAAATGTAATAATCTGTTACATACATAATTCCTTATGTTCTATACTATCTCGACATTATGGCAACCCTGGGCGACTAATTTTGAAGTTGACATTTTCGCACAACTTTAACCCTTTGCGGCCAACATTGTTTTTTTTCTCATTTTTCTAAAATAAAAGAATTTTCGGAAACTTGTAAAAATTGTAAAATTTCATGTTTAGATGTTGGCTTGAACGGTTTACCTTCTTGGGTCGCATACAAATTCGTTTTACACACTAAATGTTGCAGTATATTTTCTTTCATCAAGAGCAAAAAAAATTCGTGAGGATGTTCTATTGTACTCTCAACAGATGGTCCATGTTATATGTTGAAAGGATTAATAGTATTTGGAATAAATTGTTTATTCCAAATAAGGTCTGGATTTTTTGATATATTTTTCTTTTCTTCCAATTTAGATGTTTTTTTAGTAATTTTAGCAGGTTCATCTACAGTCCGTTTTCCTTTCAGATCACTCTTTTTTATTAGTTTTATTGGCATCTTGCGTGTTTTCTCATCATCGTCACTGTCCTCTTCATTTTTGCTACGTTCAGTTGTTCTCAAAATCTTTGGAGGGACAAGTGTAACACTCATAGATTTATTTCCGTTTTTGATTGATGAAAATTCTCCTAATTTAGTGCTTGATAGTATGGTGATGTCTGATAGAATTTGTATTTTTTTTTTGGTGGAGATGTTTCTATAATAGTATCTCGATGAATCACTGGTAAATCCTCAGAGTCATTATCAGAACCCGAACTGACAATTGACTTCTTATCTGAGGGTATTTCTGCCAATAAATCCTCCAAATCGTCTTCGGACAACATTTCTAGTTGCTTATAACTCCAGTTGTTACTTTGCATGGTACCTGAAATAAAGAAACTGTAATTGTCCATTGGTTTCACTGTGAAAACGTATTTGATACAAAAACACATTTTTAGTTACATATTATATTCTAAAGAGTGAGTACAGGTCTATGTCAACATGATAAATAACTTACCCGTAATGATTTTTGCTATTTTTTATCAAAAAACAGTAAAAATTGTAAGAACACCAAACATATGATAATACGTGTTGTGACACTACCGCCATCATACCAAAAAAATTGTAACTGTACATGAAACTAAAACATTTTGACTTCTAAGTTCATCTATTGAAATATAGATGGCACTGCTAGTATGGCCACGTAGTGGATGCAGTGGGTCAGTTGAGCATGAAATTGGTGGTTTTGTGGCGAAACCAATGAGCCGCAAAGGGTTAAATAAATATGATTAAAGGCCTTACTGATCAGCTGCTCATAGCATGAGTTAGTGAAATATGAAAGAACTTACAAAATACATACTTATGTATCATAATACAATCCTGATGAACAAAGTATTGGATGAAACTGCAGGTGTCATTTCTCCCTGAATTTGAAATGAACAATACTCAGTACCTTTCTAAAATTTTATATTTCCACAGTAATTGTTGTTGGTCAAATATATTGATTCATTTTGTTGTTGTTTTTAGTGAGGCTCTCACATTTAAATCTATTTTCAAATACAGGATTCGTTTAAATGGAAAACTCACACGATTCAATATTTTTAATTATTAAAAATAATTGCAATGGATGTTGAAATTTTGTAATTGGATTGGTAAAGAATATAGTAGTGAACATCAATTAAATTATTCATTTGTTTATTTTCTGAGATTTCTTTATAGTATCTTAATTTTCCATCCAAGCTGTTTGTGGTATCAATAAGTTGTAATCGAAATTGGACGTAGTTATGCAGAAAGCTACCAACCCTCAAAAGTAGAGTTTTTTATTCGTTTTTTTTAACAGTATATATTACAGCTTAATTAAAAAATTTAATTTTTTATTTTCATATGTCAAATTATCTCATTTTTAACAAAGTGAAAGTAAAACAAAAGTATTTTCTTCAATATTTTGGAAAATACAGCCATTTTTTTGGGGTTGGTTGTTTAGCATTATTATTTATTATTAAGAAAAAATAAAATTCGGGAGATCTATACAAGAGAAAAATCATTTATTGAAAAAAAAATCTATTAAACATCTTCAAGTTCAAAATCAAGACTAGCTATGTTATACCATCGATATCTTCCTCAATGTTGTCATCTCCTTGTATTTTTTGTAGAAATCTTGGCAGTCTGATGGGTTAAGATGCATCATCTCGTTCAGATTTGCAAGTTTTTTGCAGCAATCATCTTACCATTGGGCCATAGCGTACTCATTAAAAAAAGTCTTCTATTTTACTTATTGTGCTGTTCCTTCCTTCCTTCTTTTTAATATCAATCTTATGTACAGGTGCGTCAAACGAATCGTGCTGAACAGTCAGCAAGAATGGTTCATCTTTTTTTAACATAATCGATCTTATTTTTAGCCAGTTTATTTTTTGTCCCTCGATGCTTGTTTTTCTGTTGACTATTTTTTTTTCAATCATATTGACACTTAAAAAATCACAGTTGTTCATTTCCGTTACCACAAAAGGCATTTTTTTCGACATTGTTTCATTACCTTCACATATTCGGTGGACAAATACAATCTTTGCTGGTTTTTTAATGTCGACTCAATTTGAGCAAAATCTGAGTCATTCGGTAAAAAACTGTGGCCTGAACATAAATATTTTAAAGTAGTATCAGTCAAAGTAGATGATTCATGTAAGATAGCTTT